GGGCGGGCGGGGGGTGTCACCCTGTTCCGAGTCAAACGCCAGCCCCTGGCACAGACTGGGTCCCGCAGGCCCCTCTCTCTGGCTTTTCCCTCCCACTACCCAGAGCTCTGCAGGGGTGGGGAGGGTTTGTAAGGGGTGGGGAGGATTGGGGAGGTGGGGAGGACTATGGGGGTGGGGAGGATTGTGGGAAGTGGGGAGGATTGTGGGAAGTGGGGAGGACTTGTTGGGGGGTGGGAGAGTTGTGGGGGGTGGGGGTTGTGGGGGCTGGTCTCTGTTTACACCATCCAGGCAGTTCTTCCTCCTCTGGGCCTGGGTTTCCCCATGTGTATAGGGAACGCTGGTTCCGAGGCCCTTCTAGGATTTCCAGGCAGAGCGCCGTGTGGGGTCTGGGGCTGGAGGCTTCACATTGTGGGGGGCTGGGAGGGAAGGCCTCAGGAGAGATCAGGGCCCTCAAAATGTGCTACCCACACCCCATCACAATTTTCTCTAGGGAAACACCAGTCAGGTGATCGGGAAGGCAGAGGAGGGAGGGCCGGGAGAGGTGGGGCTCCTGGGGGTGTGGCCAGCGTGTGGGGGCTCTGTGGGCCTGCTGCATGGCTGCCTCTCTCTGTCCCCCCCCAGAGCCCTTGCAAAGCCCCAGGTGGGTCTGTGCTGGCCTGAGCGGGCTGAGCCCGCAGGGGGCAGAGCATGGAGCAGGGGCAGTGGAGAGAATCCAGGAGCAACTCGGGGGAGCCTCCTCACAGCCAGAAGCAGGGGCCTCTCCTCCTCTGCGGGGAGACCAGGTCCCCCGAGTACGCGGTGCATGGCGGTGTGTGTCCTCCGTGAACTAGGAGTCATGGGCTCCCGGTCCCAGCGTGACGCATAGTCACAAGGTGACATGCATTGTCATGGACGAGTGACGGGGCTGCGGGGCCGGGAGCAACGAGCCCTCTTTCCTTGGGATTTCTTCCTGGGGTACACAGGCTTCACACAGACCCGCATATCAGGCTGCGCCCACACCTGTTACGTTAGAATTCTGGGGTGACACCAGGCTCTAGGATTTCTTAAAACTTGAATGTGCTCATGAGTTGCCTGCGACCTGGCTGCAGTGCAGACGTGGAGTGGGCTGTTCCTCAGGCCGGCAGAGGCCAGGCCGTCCAGGGTCTGCCCCTGGGCAACGAGAGGCGGAGCCGAGCCCGCAGGCCGGGGCCCCAGCCCAGCGCCCCCTGGGCCCTGCCGTGCTCGGGCAGCCCCGGGGCTCAGGGTGGTGCTTCCGTTTTCCAATGGCCAAAAGCAAGCAAAGGAAGAATTTGTGCGGCAGGTGAAAAGCTCCGAGTCTGCACGGCCAGCGCTGGACTCACGTCCACCACACTCCTGGCTCCGGCGGCCCAGGCTGGGCTCCAGCGCAGGACCGAGGCTGGGCTGCGGGGGTGGAGGCCCTTGGGCCTGAGACTGAAACAGCCCCCGCCGACCCCCATCAAAACTGGCCTCCCGGGCTCCAGAGCTTGAAGCGGGGCCCAGGACAGCACCCCAGATGCAGGGCGGGCCCAGCTGGGCAACCCCCTTCCTGCCGACCCAGAGCTCCGACTCCTGGTCCGCACGGTGTCCGTGGCCCTGGGGAAAGGGTTCTTCCCCTCCCCAACCGCTCCCCAAGGGGAAAGGAACATAGGCGGGAGCACCCCACGGCCTCCACGGTCCCGCCTGGAAACACGCTGAGCGCCGTGCTGGTGTGCGTGTGGGCTGGAATCAAAGGCGGGGCGCCCCAGCCACCATCAGGGCCCCCCGGCCCCTCCTCATCGCATCGGGGGCTCGTCTGGAAGGTAGGAGAGTGGGCGTGAGTCCGTGTGCTGGCCCGTGGCACACGCCCCCCAGTGTGTCTGTGTGTCTGAGCACAAACTGTGCAGGCGGTTTAGCCTCAGGGTTGCAGACAGGGAAACTGAGGCCCGGGGCACGGCGCGCCCGCTGGGGTGCTGCTGCTCCCTCCGCACAGGCCAGGCCGGGGCCATCCTGGCCAGCCGAGGCTTCTCCGGCCCGCAGCGGACCTCCAGCCCAGTTTGGGCCCCGCGCCCGCCGGGGCCTGGGCTCCCGCAGCCCACCCCTGGGAGGTGCGGCCAGGGCGATGGGTCGCGACGGGTCCTGGTGGTGGCGGGTGTTTTCAGGAGAGAACGAGAAGGGGAACCTTTCCTTGGCCCCCCGCGTCGCCGCCCCCCCGGGCCGCTGCTCCCTCCGCACAGGCCAGGCCGGGGCCATCCTGGCCAGCTGAGGCCAGTCGGGCTCACCTGGACAGTGCAAGTGTCTGGAGCCACAAACCTGACCGCCTGGTGAGGACGACCCAGGCCTAGACGGTGAAATGCGATCCAGAGGTGGGGAGAATTCCAGGAAGAGGGCAAGACCTGGGATTACTTCAGACGCTCCGAGGAGCCCGGCCCGGCAAGTGAGAACTGCAGAGGGCTTGCCCAGCGCAAGGATGCGCCCGCTGCTCGGGCCTGCCTCCGGCCCTGGCCACGAAGGGGCAGCAGCCCCTCTGGCAACTGGCACCCAGCTTGCCTGGCACAGCTGGGGCGGGGCCACTCTGACGGGGTGACCCGGCGTCCCCCCCGTGGGGTGCCGGCTCCCGGCCACACCTGGACCTCCTCAGCCTTCAAGTTCGAGCCCCGGCCCCTCTGGCGCGTGGGACCCGTGGGTAAGTGGCACCCCTTTCCTATGTGGGGGGCGTTCCCCTCCACCAGTGCTCTGGGCCCGGCTGGCTGTCCCCCCCTTTGGGCTCAGTTCTGACGCCAGTGTGAGGCCCCTGGCCAGGGGCTCCCCGCGGAGATGTCCCCTCGCCTGCCTTCACGCTCTCTGCAGCGCCCAGCCCGCGTCTGGCCCGTGGCTGCGGCTCAGATGGTCCCACGGCCCCCTGAGCTCCTTCGCTAGTCACCAAGCTCAGAGAGACGTTTGACTTAGAGACCACTGTTTTTTTGCTTTAAAGATTTATTCATGTATGCACACAAGAACGGGGCACAGGCCAGAGGGGTGTGGGTGGGGAGTGGAGTCAGCAGAGGGGAGCAGCACAGGCAGATTGGCTGAGGCACACTGCTCAGGGGAGCAGCGGCCGTCCAGCACAGGTCTGAGCGCAGGCTCCCTGGCTGGGGCGCTGCAGTGGCAGCCCACAGCTTCGTAGCGCCTGAACCCCGCCCAGGGCGGCCTAGAGCTGGCCTAATGAGGCTGTACATGAGCAACAGCTGGGTGCAGGAGATTCACCGCCGGGTGCGGGCGGTGCGGGCTCGCGGCCTGTCCAGGCGCCCTCTTCCACAGCTGCCTGAGCTCACTAGCCAGGGGCCCTCGGAAGCCGTCCTGTGGGGCTTTCTGGAGATTCGTCTCCAGCATGATTGATGACATCATTGGTGATTGGCAAATAAACCTCGCCCCTCCCCCTCCCCGGAGGTAGGGGGTTGGGCTGAAATTTGCACCTTTGAATCCCAGGTTGGGTCCCCTGGCAACTGGGTGCTCTGCAGTCGCTTCATTAACATGATAAAAGACAGCCTTGTCAGCCTATTAGAAACCCGAGGGATTCAGGAGCTCGGCCTGAAGGCTGAATGGCTTCTTATTGTAAGTCACACTGAGTACATCTCAGTCTGCCCAGCAGAGTGCCTTTGGGGTGCAGAGAGGCGCCTCTGGGGGTTACGGCGGAGGAGGCAGACCCTAATTAAATCCCCAGAAAGCCCGGGCCCAGGGGTTTCCCCTACCCTTGCTGGGCCCTGCCAGGCCTGGGGGAGGCGTCAGCCCACAGGCCCCTGGGGGCGCACTGCTCAGGGTGGTCTCTGGGCCCCTCTGTGCTGCCAGTGGAATCATCACCACCGGACGCAACCACCAAGGAGAAATACATTAACAAGATTACTGTTTATATTTATTAGATTTGGGGTCTCGGGCCCCAGCTTCCGCGAAGCAGGGAGCTTGCGTCGCACAGGCGCCCTGACGGTACCGGGAATCCACAGCTCCGGGACATGA